GCCCCCAGACTGGATTTTAAATAAGCAATTCACTCTCACTCTTCTGCTGCAAATATACAAGGAAAAAAAAATAATTACCAACTATACTTTGAATAAGAAGCTTCTGAATTAATTCTTTAGTAATCTAGTTTCTTAAAATAGATTCTTCATATACCCTTTTTAACCTAATATGGACAAAACTATGTAACATATTGACACATTTCATAACCTTCATCAAAATCAATCACTTAAATTTGACAGTCTCAATGATTTCAACAAAAAAAATATAACCAAAATAAACTAATAGTCTTAAAACTTACAAGTGAAATTTTGCAGAAAATTCTTGGCCAATATGGAAGAACACCTTTTACAATTTCTGTTTCTCTCTCTGTACACATGGTTCCAAATTCCTGCATAGCCTAAAAGTAAATTATTAACATCGCTAAGAATCAGAAGCTATAATGTTGGTTATTAGTTATATTCATTTTATTTTATTGGAGAATTTAATCTATTTTATTTAATAACAATAAATATATTTTGTGCCATATAGGATTAAATTCTACAACAGTAGAAACTTTACAGTTTTTTAAAAACTAAATGCATTTTCCAAAAAACTCATTTAAACTACAGGATAGGCTAGGCCAGACATAGTGGTGTATACTTGTAACCCCAGCACTAGCACAGACTGCTTCAAGTTAGAGGCCAGCCTGGGAGTTCAAAATTAGGCAGAATTATATCGTGAGACCTTGTAACAAAAAATTAATTAATTAATTAATAATAAATAATTAATAATGAAGCTATAGGATCAAGGTTAGCATGATGACACTCATTTCTAGCTACTCAGAAGGCTGAGGTAGGAGTATCACCTGAGTCCAAGAATTCTGGACCAAACCAGGCAATACAACATGACCCATCACAAAAAATAGAAAATATACTTCATAATGAGAAAAACTGTACAGCTGAAATTCCAAAGTGCTAGGCTGGCGAGAAAGCTCAGTGGTGTAAAGTGCCTGCTTAGGCAAGCTTAGACAAGCACGGGGTTCAATCCCTGGCACCACATGCCACACCAGCCCCGCCCCCAGAGCGGGCTGAGCCAGCCACAAAAAAAAACCTTCCAAAGTGGTTCAGAAAAAGTGTCAAGCAAAATACTAACTTATAACTCAGAATATAAGCATCAAATAAGCTTATGTCTACATCATAGAAAAAGTGTAACTGTAAAAGAACTAATGATAAATTATTGGCCATATTTCTTTATATTAAATATACTAATGACATGTCTACCAGAAAGGTATTCTTGATCATTTTGACAAAAATGAGAAAACTTACTTTTAATTTTGTTGTGACATCCTTCTTAGAAAGTTTCCGTAGCACCATTCGGAAATCAGAATCTACAAGATTGTCGATTTCTTCAGCTCCTTGAATAGCAGGAACATAGCCTAGTTCATTCTGAGATGTTCCAAAACCAATAAACCCAGGCACTGTTCCCTTTTCTTTGGCAAGTAGTTCTGCAGCTCGACCACTATTTGAAGGCTAAAAATGTAAGGAGGAAAAAAAAAAATACGAATCCAAGAAAAGTTCAATATTTAATTTTGCAATTCCTGGACAATTCTCATGATCATAATATACTATTATTTGAGTTTTTTCCCTAAGCTAAAATTTCACCTATTGCACCATTCCCCAAAGATGAATAACAGTATCCTCAAGAACCATCAATATGGGCTGGCCAAATAGCTCAGTGGATTAAAGCACCTGCTTAGGCAGACTCAGCAACAGGGGTTCAATCCCAGCACGCTGTGTCGGCCCCACCCCCGGGGCGTGCTGAGCCAGCGATTGAGACTGGAGGTGGTGGCATGTGCCTGTAATCTCAGCTCTGTGGGAGGCTGAACACAGGAGAATCACTGAGTCTGATCTACGTAATGAGACTCTGCCCTGGAGGCCCTTAATAAAATACACATGCACACACACACACACACACACACAAAAAAAAAAAAAAATCCATAATGCTCCTAGGAGATTTTTTTCTAGGTTCAGAAACATTACAACAATGTTTTTCAACTGTGGATACAATCCATTTGTGTCTTATGCTATCAGTATAATGGGCCATGTTGAAGAAACAGAATATTTAAAACCAGAATGCATTATATGACAAGGTTTTTGTAAATACTATGTAAGAAAGTTTTCTCAATTTCCTGAAAATGGTATCCATAGATATGTATGTGTACTGTGTAATCATATAAAAATAATGAGGCTGACCTTTTCATCCATTCCACAAACACTTAACCAACCAATCAACATGGGTTAGAGCTAATGACAACTATTTCCCAATAAGATTCCTCAAAAACAGACTTTGCTTTCCACATATTCCAAACCTAACTTACCTTCTTTGGGCTAAAATTACATCATTAGGGATACAACAATTAACACAAAGATCAAGGCGTAAGAGATACTACTCTTTTCTTTTGAACCACAGTCAGAGGTTTGACAAATACTCTATAACGTTGTCTCCTAGTTGTAAAAGAAAGCTAGTTTTACAGAGAAAGAAAACAGAATTATTGAAAGAAATTAACTTACTCTTTGTCATATAAGGAAGAAATATCTTAATTCAGTGGTGGCCAACTTAAGGTACACGTGTTACTGTGTGCTTTCTTTTCAAAAGACAAAAGATGTTAAAGAAGAACTGTTTCTTCTAAACTAAAACCTGGGAGGCCAGATATAATTGCAGTGTGGGAACCTCATGATAACATGATTATAAGTTCTGGGTTACAGAACTTATAACTGTGGATTGTATCCACAGTTTAAAAACATTGTTCTAATATTTCTGAACTTAGAAAAAAATCTAGGAGCATTATTGATAGTTTTGGTTTGGTTTTGTTTCGTTTTGGTTTTTGTATTTTATTAAGGGCCTACAGGGTCTACAGGGTCTCACTATGTAGATCAGACTCATACTGATTCTCCTGAGTTCAGTCTCCCAGAGACCTGGGATTACAGGCACATGCCACCACATCCAGTTCGGCATTTGGTTTCTAAAAGGTTCACCATCTTGCCTTGGTTCAGCCATCAAGATGACAATACAACTCACCTACACACATTTATTTCTAAAGATACTT